AAAAGACTTGGGGAGCCTGTTTTCGTGAGCGAAACCACCCATGATAGATGGAGGTAGGCTTGGATGCATTCAGAATATGGTGTTGAGGTGTGGCCAGTCTCGAGTACGGCGGAAAGGGAATTTTACTGCAGGCCGATTTTCGATGTTTTCCATTTTCACATTTTTCATGTTTATCACTCCTATGCCATGAATCAGGACTACGTATCTAGATAGTTTCTATGTGTTGGCATATATTAATTCGTTGATGGACATTACATGTACTGTGCGACCGTGACCATTCGTCTGATTTTGCACTGTGTAGCAACACTGTACCCGGAATCTGTCGAGAGATCCACCGGTGGACTTTTCAACTTGCAGCCTCTGGTGAGCAGAAAAGGTTCAGCTTTCCAAATTTCTGTTTCTGGTCGACCAAAGCGTGCCCGGGCAGAAGTGTGGCACTGCCCTTTTCCTTCAGTATGGATCGTGACCGGGATTCGCGAGGTCGCAGGTAAGAGTTTATCGTTTATTCCCACTGTTCACTTTATTTCATAGATACCCGAGTTGTTGGTCCGACTTCATCCCGTACCTCCAGGCTGCGTGAAATCTGAACGCATTCGCCCTCCAACAAATGAAAGATGCTGTTTCGTAGCCAGTTTTGCTAAATACTGGCCGGCTTCTCTCGTTTATGAAGTGCTCTGAACTTTACTGACTGGCCCATGCAGATATGATGATGGCGAGGTCGTCCGATATGGTGCAGGTGAATCTTGGAGACCAACCCCAAGAGGTGGTGGGCCAGGGGCAGATCGATCTCCTCGACGACCTAGAAGTCCTATCAGAGATAGACCACGGAGCCCACGCCCAAGAAGTCCTCGTCCGAGAAGTCCTATGATGTCCGGGTCCGACAGCTATGTGCCTGGGCGATACCAACCCCGGCGGCGCTCAAGAAGTGGCGATCGATTTCGACGCGATCGATCTCGTGATCGTGAAAGCCCCCTTCGGCGACGAGAACGCACGCGTTCTCCCATAAGACGATCCCCTCCGCCACGGCGCAGTCCCTCCAGAAGAGGATCCCCTATTCGAGACCACAGATACGATCGTCCTCGATCTCCACGTCGCGATTGGGACAGGGACAGAGATCACCTTCGTGATAGGGACCGAGATTGGGATAGGGATCGCATGCGTGATAGGGAGCGTGACTTTGACAGGCGCGATGAAAGGTTGGTGTCCTAAGGTATAATTTAGACTTGCTGGGAATTTAAAACTGATGAATCACTACAGAAGGAGATCACGCTCGCCTTTTGGCCGTGACAGGCGTGAAAGAAGCCCGCCGGTGAAGATGGCATCTTCAGGCGCCAGAGGAGGATCTTATCGACCGAGGTCGCGTTCACAAAGCCGCGTGGGTGAGAGATATCAGACCTATCGACGGGCTTCACCTGTTCGTGAATCGGGCATCTCATCAGCGATTACCTCTCAGCCTCCTTCGGAAAGGGCCTCTCCGCACCCGGGCTCCCTCAGGGCACGATCGCCATTACAGTCCCGGGAGCAATCCCCTCATCGCACCGTCGGCTCAGGCTCAGGCTCAGTCAGGGACACTCCTCGATCAGGCCCATGTGAACCCCCATCTGCATCTAGGTCACCACCGCGTGGTCCTGCTGCATTACGGGCACCACCGACAGGGCCTTCCGCAGGCCGGACCTTGTCCACTTCTGTGTCTTCTCCATTGCCCTCAAGCTCTAGGCACCCGCAAACCCCCGGAGCAGGGCCACATCGCTCAGATGCTCCCAGCCCAACCAACCCCCCCTCGGGTCCGCGAGCGTACGTAGCGCAACGGGGATATCCTTCTCGGCCTGGACGAGGCGGCTGGAGTCAAACACCTTCTCGACAGATGTCTGGCCCGTCCCCTTCACCAACCACGCCAGGCGGATCTACTAGCATCCCTACGGGGCCGAGAGGAGCACCCTCTGCAGGCTCATCTACACCCACTCAAGGCAGGCCATTCAACCCCCCTACAGGACCGGCGTCCCAACATGGCAACGGTCCGCGGCAGTCCCTTGCGCAGAGCTTACTGGCGACTATGCCTCCGCTCATTCCTGGCGGGAAGCTCGATCCAACAATGACGCCATTTATACTGGGTGTAACTCGTGAGCTTGAGCCCCACTACAGAAAGCTTCGTGATGAGGAGGAGAAGATGCGTGACGAACTTCGTGTCAAACAAGAACGCCTTCGGAAGTCACTTTACATGTGGGACAGGCTAGAACGGGAGTCTCGGGCCTGGGAGCTGAGAAGTGATCTGAGCGAGAAGAGCATGAAGAATCTTGCTGGAGAAGGCATGGGTGGTGCTGCCTTTTGATTGCCGGAAGTGTCTAAATCACACTTGGACTTTATTTTTATTTTTTTTTTCGCGACAAAAAATCTGTATACGTATCGCTTTCAACTCTTTGGTATTTTTGCTTCTCCCTTTCATCCCCTTTTCTTTTCTGTCGCATGGGGGCCAGGGGCATGTCGGGACTAATACTGGGTACAAGGGTAGCACTTGGCGTTCGGGTATTGGTAAGGAATATATCTTGCAGATTACTTTAGTGGTAGAGATACCCGCCTTTCACATAATGGAGTTGAGTGACGTTCACGTTCTCTGCACCTTGGACTATGCTAGTTGTTGTGCTGGGCGGAAGCTGGTGGGTTTTGTCAACAGCCTAGACGTGTAGCAGCGCTGCTGGCTATGAGGGTGCCAAGTAGTTACCGTTCAACAAACTAGACAGCATGGTGGTGGAAATTTTGCACGTTTGATTCTGATTCAATTATTTGAGTGCGGATTTTCGTTTCTTTTTGTATTGCGCCTATTAGGCTCCCCTCATTTGCTGTCCATTTTTCCTACCACTTTGGTATCAGCTTACATGACTACAAGAAATGTGATGCTGATACGGCCAACTCAAGTTCATCAACTTAAACTCAAAGTCAGAATATTATACCGAATTTTATACCATGGTGCAATAATTGAATAAGAGCACATGGTTATACAGCGAATGAGTGAGAGCAGGTCATGGAGTTTGCAACGCATGTCTAGAAGACCACGACATGTTCATCATCCTCATAATCACCATCCCACTCCTCTTCCGAGTCCGACTCTTCAGACCCAAAGTCCTCCATGCTGTATTGTAACTCCCGTATCTTCTGATTGTCGAACAGAACATTGACGGTTGTGCATTTTCCATGCAAGAATTCCTCGCAAGGCCTGTCCTGGTCAAGCGACAGAACGTCGGTGCTTTTGTTACAGTCAATGGTATTGTTTTCGTCGTCATCCCCGTCCGAGGTATTGAACTCATCATCATCAGTGTCGGGCTCTTTGTAGGAAACATTTCCATGCTGATGGCGCGTAGATTTGCCGGACCGACTTCGAGCTTCGGAGACTTGACTGTTGGGGGCAATCCTGCTGCTGCGGCGAGAGGGCGATGTAGACTCCGGTAAACACATTTTTTTCACAGCCAGCGGCGCTTCATCCTCATCTGGATGTCGTAGAGTTGTGTGAAGATTCGGTGGCACAAAAGGTCGAAGGAAAACCCTTTCCATCTTGTCGCGCCACTCTCGGCGCATGGTCGCGCGTGCCTGCCAAGGAATGTCAAGCATTGTTTTAATTGCTAGGTATCGCAAATCTGGTAGCAAGGGTGCGCTGTTGATGATCGATTGAAAGAACATCTCCGCAGTGTCCACCGACCAATCTCGAATATGTTCAATATTGAGCACCCGGAGACTGGAAGGCCACTTCGGAATCTGAGATGGCAGCAACACTTGATCGTACATAGGATCAGCATCGTTTATACAGTCATGATGTCGATAATATGACAAGTTCATATGTAATTCTCTCAACTTGGGACACGTATCAGCCAAGTCCGTGAGGAACCCCAAATCAAGCGACTGGTTGTGCATTAGAGTCAGAGTTCTTAGCTCGCTTCCATGAGTGCGCAGGAACAAGGACAGATCTTCAGACCTGACCTCCCAGCAATTTATCAATTCAAAGTGGGCAAGATTCCTTGGTAAAAGAGGGAGCAGGCGATCATTGAGTACAGTTGAGGATTCAAAGACAAGATGTTTCAGCGAAGTCAGTGGTGCAATGGCCTGTGCCACAGCCTGTATCATAGCACCATCCTCGTAGTAAGCCTGTAGTTCTTTTTCTTCAGAGCCGGGCTTGATATGCAGGTGTTTCAGTGAGGGGACTTGGAAGTTGGTCAAGCTCAACCTAGTGAGCTGTGAGAATGGCACTGTCTTATGGAGACACGATATAGCCTCGATCGTCGGAACGTACCCTCCAAGAAATCTACCGCTCCACTCCCAGCTCTTCAGGGCAGTCGGGAATGGCTTGTCGCCAGCCAGAAGGGACTCAGTAGGAGCGGCGTCTAGGGCCCGGAAGATATCTTCTGGGTAGTGCCAACGTAGTGGCTTGTCTAACTCTCGGTAGGGTGGTTGATCCATAGGGGTGTAAATAATCAGCTCTTTAAGGCGGGTGAGTGGGCTGATTAACTGGAAGAGAAGCGATTGTGGAACAATCTGGACGTTAATGTGCAGGGCCTCGACCTTTACCCTATAGTTATGCAGCGTCCCTGAAGAGGGACGATCAAGAAGGAGTGTTAGTCGTTTTGCCTTGGCGGTATTTTTGAATGTTGGGCAACGATAAATGGCAGTCAGGGCAGGTTCTGCGAATAATTTGCACGTGGTAGCGGCCTGTATTAGCCAACTATTTGAAAGTACTTCGGTAGATCCTTCTCTGGCTGCATATAGAAAAATATCCACCCAACATGCAAATGGGATTCGGGGGTCTCGCCAGTCCGGAACAAACGAAGCTGGGATATGGCTGTTAGTCGCAACGTCCTGTGCCAATAATTTGCGCCTCTTGGCAGTCGATGGCGGCCATGGGCGACTTCGTTTTCCCCGAGTTCTCGACTTGACAGGGCCAGCGCTAGATTTCGCTTGGGGTCGTTTTTTGACTACCTCATTGCTAGAGCTTGATCTGAGCTGTTTATTTCTTTCGCTTCGACCGGCCAAGCGCAATGCCCGATCTTCCGCCAGATTGTTCATGCTTGATTCGAGGCCGCTTTCTGGACCCGATCCGGCAGATTCGGACACAATGGTGGCTTGCGCGTCGGATGCGTCATCAGACTCAGATGAATCTTCTGCATAGTTGGGTCTCGGACGCATATGCGTACGGGAAGCAGCGATTCGTGACGAGCGATTGCCATTGCGCCGGTTGGGAGCTGGGTCGGGGCGCCTAGACCGTGAACTGCGAGTCAAGGCCATCTTCGCTGGACTTGTGGACTTGAGCCCCAGTGACGACGGTATATTGTATCGAGGGCGACGCTTCTCAGTGAGGATCTCAATTGGATAGTACGAATACCCAGACCGTTTGGCAATGAATATTTTAATCGATATTCAATCTTCAATCTTCCACACAGCTACTCCCAGTGTCTATCTGCGGCCGTCAAACTTCAGGAGTATGAGCTGGATGTTGCAAATGACATTGGTACGGAATCTTGAGCATCTTGATGGTCGGAAGGTAGGCTCTCGATGTTACCATCACACGGAACTGATACTGCAGCGCAAAAAGTTGGCGTCGAGGGAGGAAGCGACGGCAACATGTGCATGCCTTGAGGTTTGGTGGGGTATTAAGTTGAACTTCAGAGTGTCGCCAAGTTCCGGCAGCCTTGCATTCAGCGCATGCGGGAAGTGATGCGTGCAGGGGTTAGACCTCACGGTGTGTGAATGCATGCAATAACCGAGGCAATTCGACAAATAGGATTGTTATGTAAGCACAGCCCGACACTGAAGCTGAGCGACTGCTAGTCATGATAATACTCCGTATTTCCGTAGGATATTTTGCTTGAAGCTCAGGGATTGCCTGCCTCTAACGCAGCGAGGGGAGGGGTCTATTCACTCGTGATGTATGCATTGCTTGATGCGAAATGCCAACATCATCCAGGATGTTAGAATACTGTGCAACAGAGCTCTGTACGCGAGGCTCCCTGCGTCGGCAGCATCAAGGACGACGAAGGGCAGGAACAGATGGCGGGATGTACGGAGTACATATTGGCATACGGAGTACTGAGTATCGAGGTACTAAAGTGCGGAGCACAGAGTTCTTGTGTACCTGTCTTGGTCGGCATGGAGCACAAAGAGCGGAGTACCATTTAACTACTAGAAGTACCTACTTGCGCGGCCCCTGTTTCTGGTGACAGCACAACTCTCACAAGACGGGTCAAATTGTCACCACATGTGCATTTATTAGAAGTCTAATGCATCAAGTAAAAAATTCTGATCAGCTGTCTTGTGACAGTCACCAGAAAACCCCTTGGCGCGCTTAGGTACCTACCTAGAGGTACGGAGTACCTTATCAAGGTACCGCTATCACCCTGTGGAGAGGTCCACCACATGCATGTCCATTCACGTTTGCCCGCACTAAACCCTTCCTGGAGCCGTCATGGAAGCAGGTTCCCCTGCACCTCACGCGTCTCACTGCTCAATCGCATGCGCCATCACGTCCGACTGAGCCTCACTTCTCACATCGCCAGACACGATATCAGCTCGTTGACAACTGCTTCGTTTACACGGCTCGATATTAGGCGCACCATCGTCTCGCCCGTCACCTGCTCCTCACTTGAACCCCACACCGCGCCTTTGTCGGCAGCCCCTCTGCCTTTGGCAGCAGTATCCGCGTGTTTGACGCTCACACTGTAAACATCTTCAGGCAACGCACTTGACCAACAGTAACTTCCTGTCAACCCGCAGAAACAATGCATCATCCATCTTCATGCTCTTGAGGCAACTTGGCATACGTTATTCCCGCGGTTTACTTGCTGGCGTTTCCCTCCACCTCCGCCGTTCTATGAGTGGGCTTCAAACATGACGGCGCATAGCCCTTGCCAGCGGACAGCCCCCTTTCTTCATCGTACCTGGCTCAAGGGTGTTAGGGCGCTTCAAGAGTCATCAGTCATGGGAAACATAATATCTTCGCCCATGCATAAGTTGCCTCATGGCGAAAGTGATGACGGGCCGCCAGCAAAGCGCCGTCGCATCTCATCCCCCGACTCACTCGACCTTGATCATTTTGTCGCATCTCCGCGGTTGTCTGAGTCTGGTTCAACGCTACGCATTGAGGTCCTCAAGATTCTCCACAAGGACTCAAAAAAGGTCAAGAAATATCAAGGAACGCCTGTCCCTCATGATATTCTCACCACCAAGGCGAGATGCAAAGTCTCCATGTTTGACATGAGCTCGGGTCCGCCACAGATCCTGTATTGCCAGAGTCAACTGTGTGACCTGATCACATTCAAGAATCCAAACGGACCTTACCGCGTTGCCCGCGTTGACTTGCCAGTACCCTTCTTTATTCCGAGAGAGAGCATTCTAATTAATCGACCCGACGATGGCACTTTCGATCTGTCGGATTCGTACCAGCTGCTCATAGAGCTGGAGGCTGCCAATGCAGCCCATTGGCCACCCCTAGACGAACAAGACTTTGGCATACCCACACAATCTCTGTACCCGCCATGGGGGACAACTCGGCACTGGATCCTGTCTAGCAGATTCGACAGCGTCTTTGGGAGGATGAGGAACCCCTTGAGCCTCTCGGCAAGATACCCCTCGGACCAGTCTACTTACCAAACGAACTATGTCATGGACGTTGATCTTCGATGGACCGCTGGATTCAAGGCCTTGAGACGGCTCGAGAAAGGGTCCATGCCCTGTATTACGGCAATTCATCCCGACGTGGACATATTCAGTGATAATGCAATGAGCCATCCTGGCGAGTACGGGACAAATGGTATTAATGATCATGCTGATGATGATGAATCACCGCAAGACCAAGATGATGAGCTTGCTGGTGATCAGACACCATCCCGTTCATTACGGGCTCGAGAAAAGAACAAGATATACAACCTAAAAGTACTCAGTGATCAAGCACTCGGAAGAGAGAAAAAGCACCGTGGGCGGAATTCTAACACTGGAATGAATGGGGAGGGCCGGGTGCAATACATATTGCCAAGTGATCAGCCAATATCCTTGGAATTCTATTGTTGTATAACTTGCGGCGCGTGTCATGACTCCATGGACCTACTTCAGCTGCACCTGCAGACATCTCATCCAACGTACAACTATGTGCTCGAAACTACAAGCCAGGGTCCGCTATTTCGAGTAGCCGCCCTCCGAGAGCCGACGACGCTTTCTCCTCGAAAAGCTCTTCAACTTGCGCGACCCGCAAACCCCTTCAGCATTCAAGCCCTCATATCTGGAGATCAGAATTGGGCTATGTCGCGGCTTGGACCTGACGGCGACGAAGTGTTCAAGTCCCCGACGAAGAGTTTTCTTGACCGAATTCAGTCTGGATCCCCTGTCGCAAAGTTGTCGAAGCCACCGCTACGCCGACCTGTCAAGGCGGCGAGCGTGAGCAAGGTTCTGGTTCCCAACATCCCACAACCTCTATTTCATCCCATAAGCAAAGCCAAGTTGAAGCCCGGGCAGGAGGTGCCTCAGAACACTCCCGATAACACATGGTTAATACAAAAGCACCGCGAAAGCATAGCGGACTTTTCTGATGTGACTGCGGCAGAGAAGGAATATATATGGGAGTGGGACGGCTATATTTTGCGGCAAAATATCACTTCGGCTGCGTACTTTCCCCGTGCTTGGCTGAACTTTGTCGAAGAGAAAGCGGGTTGGCTTGCTGGGGCGCAGCACCGAATGCTCGAGTTTGGAAAGCACTCAAGTGTCTTATTGGCACGAGATGTTCTAGATGATGAAGACATGCAGCAAGCGTTCAGATATATCAATGAGGCGAGAGCAAAATCTGCAAAGGGTCAAAGTCCGCATGGTGAGATGTTGGCTGCCGATGATCGGGCAAAAGACATGGCCAGCACCAAGCAATCTCCAAAAGTCTCTCAGATTCGCAAAGGCGCCAATGGTTGCACTATTTGCCAGCTTCCCGTTATTGGCCCTCGGCTCTTAGTATGCTCAAATACCGTAAGACCTCCTGGCATTTGATTTTGTCTATTTATATATGTATGATGAGCTGACACTGTCTCCTCCAGACATGTTTGAAACGATTATACCATGCCGATTGTATAAAGAGCGATGCAGTTATGTCAGTAACGAAACCAGGGTGGCTCTGCAATGTTTGCAGCAGAAGCAGAGGTTCGGACTAGAGGTTCGGACTTTATTCGTCAACAGCTAGCACAGTCTTTGCCAAGACCAAACCTCGTCTTAAAATTGAGGCGACTGGGGTATGTCGCTCAGATTTCAAAAAGAAGTCAAGATGATGAAATGTTGTGTATATTAGAGTGATGTCTGCAGCTTCTCATGGAGGTGCTGATATCCTCCACATCAATAGCAATCATCATGGGAAAAAAAAAATTTAAGCCCATCTAAATCCACCCTCCTTCTCTTTCTCCCTTTATTAGGGCGCGCCGTCAAAGTACGATGGTTGCCCACGTAAGGCACGTAAGGCTAAGTACCCTTTTGCAGGTTTGTTCGTGGAAGCTGGCCTTGGAATATGGCCACATTTGAGTGTCGTAGAGTGCCTGGGCGGTGGAGATTTGGCAAAGGAGAAAGGGGGTTTTCTTAATATACATACGTTGGCTACATTAGAATCGACGGTCACTCCCTGAAACCCAGCAAGACTTTGAAAGAATACGCCCAAGAACCTCTCCAACGCCCCATCTGTAAATTGGAAAAAAAGAAAAAGGTTCCTCGGCTTACCACAACCACCACCCACAATCAATGCAAAGTTGAGTGCTTTTACTCCCTTAAAATACACAGCGTCTTACGATACCGTGGGGCTTCAAATGACCCCATTCAGCTTTCCAGTCATAAAACAAAAAGAATCACTGTTGAAGCGCTTCAATCCGCTTGGCATAGCGGTGGCTTCATTAAAACCTATACCGGTTCTCCTTCTTCTTTTCCTGGCGCTCCTTTTCTGTGCGTTGTCGTTTGCGGCTCTCTTCGGCAATAAGATCAGTGAGGTCATCATCATGAGCCCACTTCGCTCCGATCCCTTCCTGTCTACGGGTCTCTTCAAACTGTTGCCTAAGTGCATCCCGATTGATGCCGTCATGCTGATTTAATGAATCAACGTCGAGGGCAACATCTACATCGCCGGGTTTCTTGCGCTTGCGAGAGTCATCTTCTGAGCCAAGGACCGGCATTCCAGCTCGCTGGCCGGCCTTGAGGTCATAGACGCGGTCACTACCAAAGAAGCCTTCTGCTCGCACCTGCCGTTCTGGCAGGACTGTATATGCCGATCTAGGAGCCGATGATTCCTCGGTATCGTAGCCTCGGCGCTCTTTTCGCAGGTCCATTTCGCCTGCTACGGAGGTCTCCACGCCAGGGCCGTATTCGTTCAAGTTGGTGGAATAACCGCTGGGAGTCTCCAAGCCACTAGGAGTCTCCAGGCCTCCAGCATCAGCATCCTCCTCCTGCTCGGACTCTTCTTCGGATTCCTCCTCTTCCGACTCCTCTTCCCGCGGTTGCAGCTCGCCCCAAAGCGTCCGTTCGACGGCTTCGCCCATCTGTAATTGAGCTTGTGTTGCTTGTGGTTGAGCTCCGTTTTGGGCGAGGCCGAACACATCACCGCCATACAATGGTCGGTTAGTCTCATCAACGGGGGGCTTACCCCATCCGCCAGGGTGGAAGCCCCATGAGCCGCCAGGAGGTGGAGGGGCGTTCAGGCCTGGAATCTTGAGCGTTGGATACGATGGGGGAGGCCCATAGCGTTGCTGGTTGATCAACCAGGGGGGAGGAGCCCCAGCCGGCATCCCAAGGGCCTCCTTGGTAGCATCGGTTAAGTCACCAGGTCGAAAGTGTTGGTAGTCGACTTCTGCCTCCTTGCCCTCATAGTATACTTCGCCGAACCGAGTAAGCTCCGGTTTTGTTTGGAAGCGGAAGAAAGCATCGTAGAGCTTCTGGTAATCGATATCTAGCCTGCCCATCTTCGGCGCGACTCGTTCCCTCTGCTTCTGCTTCAAGGTCTGCTCGGCTTGTTTCTCGAGCACAGCATCTCGCATCTCAGTGATTCCAGTGTCGGAGATGAATTGAGGTAGTCGAAAGGGCGGCTTTTCAATGCCCCTCTTGGATGATAGATATTCTCGTTTGAGCGACCAGTGGGTTGGGACTGGTACCACATTTCGCTGAGCTTTGATCTGAACCAAGACTCGCGGGTCAGACGAAGACACGTCATGCCACTCGACAACTTCTGGGATGGACACCAGCGCCTTCAGTTCAGCCACTGAAAGCTTGTTGAGTTCCTTTCGTTTCTTCTTCGATAGCTTGGGCTTCTCATCTTCCTCTTCCTCGTCAGGGATACCATCATCGTCTCCAAGAAAAACCGTGCCTTGGTTGCCAGCATTCGCCTCCTTGGCCACCTCATCCTCCCCCAATGAGGCGCCAAACTTGGTAAATATGTCTTTGTACACAGAAAAAGCGGGGTCCTCGTCGAGAGAATCGTCAAGGACAGGTGCATCTATGGTGACGGGAGGTTCGGCGGTGTGGTTGTTAATTTCATCCTTGTTGGCATCGGCTACATCTTCTGCTTGATCTTTCTTTTGGTCTTTTTCTTGGCGAGATTCGCCTGTAGACTGTGCAAATGTCAGTTTCACTCTCCAGACACGGCCTGTATTAGCAACCAGCTTCAGCTGGTTTTGTCGCACCTCGGGTTTCTGGGCCTTCTTCTGCTCCTTCTTCTTGGCCCTCCGCATTTGGTTCTTGGTCATTTTTGTGGCCGCCATGATGAAGGGGGAGTTTGCGACGACAGGCCGCCTTGCTGGTTGGAAAAAGTCGGGGAACTCGATGTTCGGGTCAAAAGTTGGAAGACGGCGTAGAGACCCGTGACAGCGATAATGTACTGCTTCGGGTCCCTTCCCATTCCGCAAAGAGACAGCGACCAGTCAGGATAAGGTCAGCCGAAAGCGTGACCGAGGTTGGAAATCGACTCGAGATCTGGCGACCAGGGGTTTAGAAGGTTGTGGACGTCGTGGAGTGTAGGGATGTTGGCCAAAAGTGAAGCGCGACAAGACAAGAAAAAGAGTCGAGATGCCAAAGACAAGCGCGCCCAGTCATAGGAGAGGTATGCAAATGCGCAGACCAGTTGTCGTGCAGGCAGAGAGATGAATGTCTATATATGTATGCCGCGCTCTCTAGAGGGGGGTTGGGTTGAATGATTCATAAGAAGAGCTGGGCGTTTGCAGGATGTTCCAGCCGCGATAAATCTTATCGTGCAGACGCACCGACTCGGCAGATTGCCGGGTAATGACGCCCCAAGTGGCAGCCAAGGAGAAGCTGGCAAGGCGTCAACTGGCCCTGCATTGCCTGCAAAGAATCCCAGCTGTCCCCAAGACCAGTTGACCCCACCAGTGCACTGGAGCCTGTAGCTGGGCACATGCACACAGGGGGCCGCAGGCAGCACCTCAAGTCCATTCGCCAGTGCCAGTCAGTCCCCGTGCCATCAGACACGGTTGTTGACACACTCTGCCAGCCGCCCCCAGCCATTATCTACTAGGTACTTACTTAAGTACCTAGGTACGTCTGGTACAGTTGGTCCTAGGCAATCAGTCATGCATGCACAAAGTACTCCGTTTGATGTCTCAAGGGTCGGCAGATGGCACTCACGCAATCAACCAACCAATTGTTGGCCTCTCTTTTCTTTCTTGTCCCCTTCTCCTTCAGCCTTTGCTCTCCGTCACTCTGTAGCCGCTTCTGGCTTCCCATCTTCTGTCCCGTAAAATCCGCTCAGCATGGACTTGTTGCAGTAATTTTGCTACTGGCATCCTCGTGTCCATTCGTGGCCTTCCTGTCATTCGTTTAACCCGTCGGCTGTTGGTGTTCTGAAGCTGCAATAAGCGTGCCCCTGTCCGCTTTGCCTGTCAGAGACTCAGAGACGTCCAGTTGAGCCTTGAGCTTACGTCGACATCTCCATGCCAAGAGTCCCGATCCGCTTCGCATGATCGCGTCCCGTCTTGTCCCATTGTCCCATCTCATCCCCCGGTCCGGCTTGAACACGACCCAATCTGCGACCGACCCGGTATTCGGACTCGCGATACGGCACTGAGGAAATTCTGCATCTCGGGGCCTGCACCTGGGTCCTTTTCTTTTGCAGCCCGCGGTCCGCAGCTGTCTGCTAGCATGGAAAAGTTCCCGGACCATGTAGATGCGCCTCGTTTCCACAATGGCATTTCTCGCTCTCCCAGTCCTCTGAAGCCTGCCTCTGGCTACGGCCTCCCCAATGGCGCCATTTCACATTCAGATCGTCGACCAACCCCCGCCGTACGGAAGGAGAATGGTCACACACAAACAGCTGTTAATGGCCACGGTCAGAATCTCTCGCCCTGGTCTGACGCTTCAAAACGAGGACACGGCCGTCAAAAGAGTTTGAGCGACGCCATTCGAACTATTCGTACCAGAAAAGGAAGCGTGAGCCAGAATGCGCATGAGATAGCCGATGCCCTTCGGGCTCCCGTGTCTCCAAAGCTCGTCGTACGTTGCACCACCTTAATCATCTACATCTTTTTGCAATTGAGCGCCTGCGTCTTGTCTACAGCTTCTTCGTACAATTGCTAACTTGGGCCATTTGTGACAGATTCTTTGTCTCATGTGGTATACATCGTCCGCCCTAACCAACACCTCGTCCAAATCCATCCTCAACGCCTTCGACAAGCCCGCGACCTTGACATTAGTCCAGTTTGCCTTTGTGTCTTCCCTCTGCGTCTTGCTCGCATGGCTCGCCACCTTATTCCCAATCCTTCGCGAGAAGGTGTCCGCTCTTCGACATCCCATCCGCCAGCCCTCGAGAGACGTACTCGTGGCCACACTGCCGCTCGCAGCGTTCCAGATTGGTGGTCACCTTTTGAGTTCAACCGCAACTGCCAAAATTCCCGTCTCCCTCGTTCACACCATCAAAGGGCTGTCTCCCTTGTTTACCGTGCTGGCTTATAGAATCTTTTACGACATTCGATACCCCCAGGCAACGTATTGGTCCTTGATTCCCCTGACGGTCGGGGTCATGCTTGCCTGTTCCGGAAAACATAGCTATGGAGGGCAAATGCTTGGCGTTGTCCAAGCGCTTTTAGCGACCCTCATTTTTGTTACGCAAAATATCGTTTCCAAGAAGATTTTCAACGAGGCTGCCAAGGCCGAGGCAGAAGGCCCCAGAGGTCAATCCAAAAAGTTGGACAAGCTGAACTTGCTATGCTATTCATCCGGCATGGCATTTGTTGTGACGATGCCAATTTGGTTCTGGAGCGAGGGCATCACTTTACTAAAGGACTTTCTGCACGATGGCTCGCTTGATTTGAGTGATAAGAACGATGCCATGGATCATGGTCGTCTGACCCTTGAATTCATCTTTAACGGCATCTTCCATTTTGCTCAGAATATTCTGGCTTTTATATTGCTTTCCATGGTTTCACCTGTCACATACTCTGTGGCCAGTCTGATTAAGCGGGTCTTCGTCATTGTCATGGCCATTCTGTGGTTTCGAAGTCCAACAACACCCATCCAGGCAGTGGGTATTGCCTTGACTTTCGTCGGATTGTATCTCTACGATCGTACCAGCGAGAGTAACAAGGCTGACCGAAAAGCACGCCTAATGACTGAGTCCCGGACCGGGTCCCCCTTGCTCCCATTGGAAGAGCGGCCTGGCAGGCCAGCAAGTGGGATGAATGGCGTGACAACCCGGCCATGTGACCGCGGCTATTTGAGTTCCTTCTCGGGAGGAAACAGCTCAAAAAGGTCTATCGAGTAATGCTTTTCTCCGTCAGAAGAGGCTAGGCAGGGCCTTGCCCTTGAGCACAACGTGCATAGATGAATATGACTTCGAGAGTCTGGACATGGTAGCAAAAGCCCTCATCCTGGTCATGTTCAAAAAAGCAAAAATGGAGATTATGTTCTGTTCTCATATTTGGAATCCGTCTTTGGTCTATATTTGGTTTCTTGCTGGATGAAGTTGGAACCTGGTGATTTCGGTCGCGCGTATGCGCTATTTCGACTATGACGAAAACGGATCTTGACGCATCAGAAAGTATGCTGCGACTTTTGGCGTTGGGAATTTTGTATAGGATCGAAACTTGCTCACTCCCATTTTGCTGCGTGAGACGACTGATTTTGGTTGTCCTGCTCGCGTGTAACCCGATTGGCATTGACTGCACGGCCACAAACTCATGATGTGTAGCACGTCTTGGTATTTATTTCTCTTCATCTTATAGCAAATGGGCAGGGTACCGGCTGCACGGGATAAATTATTTCCTCGGGGGATCGCATGTGCACATTGGTTTTTTTGGTAGACGTGTTCCAACACAAAAAGGCCACATGGGCTTGTAAATTTCCATCACTTTGCATCATCATCATCCTTGGTTAAACCTGGTCATGTGCAAGGCCTGCCTCATATGAATAGGCCCAAATAAAAATACACTCCATGATGGAGGGATAACGCGTGCTTCTATTCAATGAGCCATTCCTCCACCTCGACGCCGATACTTCTCCCAATGCCCCTAATAGATTCCCAACCAACGTTTATTCTCCATTTTCCAGATCTATCCATCATGTCTCCCGCGCCGACTTTGACCAATAGTCGGAGGCTAGCTAGTGTAGCAATAGCCATTCCAATGTCACCATCCAAGCCGGTAGTTCCAACAGAACTCCCATCAGGGGACCATTCGCTTCGAACCGCCTCGAATATTGCCATCATGCGTTCCAGAACAAAAGCATGCGCGCCGAGCAGTTTCCGCGCGATTCTTCGGTGTTTTGTGCGGGGTGTCCCACGACTGGCGACAAAGCCGCCGCCACGACGCCGTTTGCGGCCATGGTGATAGGTTGAGAATAGCGTCAAATCGTGTCGCGTAGCGTTGTGCGAGGCGAGATATGCGGCTAAGAGGATAAGACGTGCTGCAATGGGCAGCAAAGCGGTCAGATAGGAAGCCGAAGTGGTGGCGCTCCCAAGAGACCTCGAAGAAGCTGCGGTAGGCATTGTTGTTGCAGTCGTTGTAGCTGGCGACGGTTCAGGGCGGACTGAGACGATTCCTGGGTTCAGAAGGGATTCATCTTGGAAATGGACTCGTGCTGCTACCAGCAGTTTGGAGAATTCTTTTGGTGAGTAGGTGCCAGCAACTACAGGCGCGATAAACCGCGGCCATAGAGCCTGGCAGCTATGGCGAAATGATGGCAGGCTGCGAGAGGCAGACCGTACAAACGCATCGTGAACAGCGGCACAAAACCGAGTCCAAAGGTCTGTCGTCTCGGGTTGCGTCGCGCCGGATATCGCAGGCGGCGGAGAGAGAGAAAGAATACGAACAAACTCGGGTTTCGTGTACGGAGGGAAGTGAAGGAACACGGCGGCGGTTGTTCGGAGAAAGCCTGCGGGCGGTGCCGTGACGATGAAGACGGTGGTGAGGCAGGGGATCTGGCACGGGTTTATGTTTATGTTAGTACCATGAAATGACATGTATGGAAATTGCGGACTTCTTGAGGCATGCTCACAATCTCTGACAGACGAGCCAAGGCTGGTATCAATGTCGGTGGCGCATCCCTTTGCCTATCCACCTCATCCAGCACCAGGACAAACCTCCATGTTGGATCTCTGGCTGGCTCTTCCAGCATCGTGCTGACGGTTACAGACAGCTGCGCCATTGTCTCGCAGCGCCTCCGTCTTCCAAGTGCTGTGGTGAACGTCGAAGAAGACGTCTCGCCTGGTTCCCCATCCAATTTCAACGCATCTGTGACCGATCCCACGATAGTCTCGAATAAGTGTCTGGCCGTGATGCACTGTGCGGCGTTTATGACAGCATACTTGAGTCCCCCGCTGCGTGTTTCGGCGCAAGGCTGCGTGTCAGCTAGATGCGCGAGCAGTCGCCTCGTGATGCTTGATTTACCCGTGGCTTCGGTGCCATGGAGGACAAGATTGCGACAAGGTGCGGCAGTGGGCTGAGAAAGCAAAAATCAGTTAGTCTTTCGGTCAACAGCCCAGAAGGCATGCCACCCGGTCCAGAGAAGGCGGAGCAAGCAAGGTGCCTCATCTCGTGCAACTCACATAAACGAGCGTCGCAAGCAATCGGATCTGATGCCCTCGGCCAGGAAAGCTCTCCAGCAGCGGTGACAGGACCTCCTCCTCGGGCAACCCAAAAAGGGAGCCCATCTTTTTAAATTTCGACCGTCTTTAAGGATAATGAGCAAACAGATTGACTTGGGACTTTATAATTACACGTCGAGAGTGACCGGGGCTGTATGATGTCCTGGAACAGTCGTTCGCCGTCAGCTGGTGAAGTTCAACTGAATGGAGCTAAGAACGGACCAGGCGCGTCGGACAGGTGGGGACCCGCGTTCTACGGGGCAAACGACGTCAGTGTCGAGCCAAACCACCCATTTCCTACATCTATCCTTATCAATTGGCATTTAAAGTCAGCATCCCCTCGTCCACGTCATTGTTTTATTTTGTGGTTATTGTCCTTGGCGCTCTGGCCGAAGTGTCTGGCTTCTTAAAATCTCCCTCGGATGTGACAGTCGCCTCGCCGTATTATGGCCATGACGGGCTTGGGCTTCAGTCTGGAGACACATTCACACAATTAAACGTAGCTCAAGAAGACATCTTTTTCTCAATTTCGCCCTGTTTCCAAACTCAAATGACCTCAGCGCCATGCCATGCTCATGCTTTCAAAATACAATGCTTCCTGAATGCTCCTCTAGACATGATAGACCGTTTGCCTTGCGCCACCACCAACTCCACTCCCGTATCCCATCGTTCAATTCGTTAATGAGGCTTCCTGTTTTCCATCTGGTATATGCTACCGAGGGCGCCAAGGCTGGACCTTTCTTCGGGCCAGGCATATGTATCGCAATCTTGTCTTCCGTAACTTTCCAGTTCTTCCTCACGTCTTGGACGATGTTTTCTGCAAAGTTCACCACGTCCGAACCAAGTTCGTTGGCTTCGTAACGAGCTCTCTTTGTGCCCATTGGAAGACTTTCGGATTGCGCCATCTCGCTACTCAATTCTTCTCCATTTGAACTCTGCAGACGAACGCGGCACTTCGAAACAACCACCCAAAAATCACACAACAAATTCCACAACGTCGTCCAGAGCGGCGATTGCGAGCCGGACATTGAGAGAACGTGAATGGACGGCCAAAGCAAATTTCCAAGGCCAATCACCTGATTCACTAGATGAATCTGAGACCCAGTCAGGGACCGTCCGCCATTGAACAACCCGTTTATTCCATTCAGCATAGCTTGCAGCAACGTACAAATTGCCGGCACATCATCAGCTGAGAGCTCCAGTGATATGGTCTTGCCACTTAAGCAAAGTGCAAAAGCCTCCACGTATATGTCAAACAATGGAAAGGCATCGTTCTCTTCAAAGGAGGCATGAATTATGGAGGGCAGCATTTTCGACACGACGAAAGTCTTGACACCGGTGTTGGACATGCCCTTACCCAGCATGTGAACTTCGTCTGTGAATTTGTCGTTAAAAATCGAGAATTTCGCATTGTTGAAGAGGAGGTGGAAGAGCGACTGGCCAATACGAGCGTCGCCATCCTGCAGCCGCAAGCCGTACGACTTGAGGTTCGCGACTTTGAGCTGAGGATCTTCCGCAGACGGTGAGTATTCTTTGCTTATTTGACAAAAGTAATTGTCCACAGCGCATATATCAGACCCATACGTCTTGACAAGAGAAATAACGCCTTGAATGAAGACAACATAGCTATCGTGCTCATTCGACGTCTGCATCCCATTCTTGAGGTCGTCTTTAATTTGGTCCATCATCAACTTAAGCGCCGATGAATAATCCGTCGTCATTGCAGCGCGAAGGGTTGGCCCAGCATCCCGAACAGATTTGCGCATCGATGAAATTGCATACTCCAATAGGTCTCTGTTGGTATTGTAATCAGGCGGTATAGAAATGTCCAACACAGCCTCAGGTACGAACAATTTTCCACGGCGACGAAGCTCTTTGCCTAGTTCAATCTCATATTTCAAAGACGTGCGAGGCTTGGCCAGAGAGGAAACCCAAATCTCACAAAGACTAAAGCCAGCGTCGTCGAAATCATCAATACCGTATCGTAGCAGAGTTGAGATAAACAAGACCATATATCGCCGTTGACGCAAATCCAACTTGAACGGCGATTCAGAGAATAATCGATAGTTGCCTTTGAAAGCCCCAGAAAGCCTCATCAGACCGCCATTGATGAATCTCATGCTCATTCGTGCAGCAAGGATGACGATCTGCTCGGTACATTCCACTTGTGCTTGTTTAACAAGGTGGGAATCTTGTTCGTTCAGAGGAGTTGCAAGAACACGCCTCGCCATGCCGAAAAATGTCTTGGATAAATGCTGGTCTAAAAGTAGGAGCGCATCGTCCGCCACGTCGGCGTTGGGAATGTGGCTCTCGCTCTGCTGACTCTCTTCAATCGCCTTGAAATCGTCGATTTTGGACAGCATTATTTCAAGTGTTGCCAGAGGCACTCTGAGGAGCCTCCAAGCAAGGTCAGGAGGAGCCACTGAGAATTGTGTAAATACGGTGCGTAGCTGTGGTATATTCCAAGAGAAAGTCGCTGTCGGAAGATCTGGGGCATGTCGGATGACGTCCAATGATGCTGTCAACGATGAGTATATAACGTCAATCAACGCGGCCTTGTTGACAGAAACTGTGGCATTGATCATCTCATCAGTGATCGAGTGGCTAAGTTCCTTTCCAAGAGTTGAGAGCTGTAGTGCAACTTCAGACGCTACTGAGTTGTGCTGTTTAAGTACCTGTTCAAAAAACGAATTTCGCCAGGCGTGGAAAGGTCTCCATGATACTCTGGCTTCCCCTGAGCTAATGACAAACCGTGCAAGCTGAGTCCACGCACGTAGGTTGATCAGACATGCTTCTTTGTGGGAATCAGTCGGGTCTACAAGGTTCTGAATGAGAACTGGAGACGGGCGACATTCAGCAGGAGCAGCCCAAAACAATGTACATAGCAAGTCGTGATGATTTCTCAGCGCTGCCAGGTCGCGCGCATGCACATTTTCGTCCTTGCGATGCTGTCGGTTGTGATTCGGGACAATTCTTGTCACAAGATTGCTGATGTCCTTGATGGAGCCAGCAGCTCTGAGCTTTCTTATTGCAACTGCTACAAGTTTTAGAAAAACATGGAAGCAACGGTCTTCAGGTTCGATAGCTAGGTCCGGTCGGCCACCTAGATTCTCAAGAAACCGCGGAGACTTGAATACTTCTTCGTTTCGAAGATGCGCCAATTGCTGTGAGCCGAAAAAATCGAATATCAAGCCAACTATACTGACACACTTCTTCCAACCCCATTCTTGAACAAGGTAGTGGCATCGTCCAACGAGTGCTCGACAATAATAGTTGAAGCTGGCAGCCTGTCGTGGGTTGCGTTCGTACAGTTGGAAAACTTGCCTAAGAAGCTTCTGCGGAATTGTCCAGCCGTCACTCGGCACGGTGTGTCGCTGGCCAGCAACGAGTACGCCAGTATTGCTAAATTCCACAAGGGGAAGAAGCGTAAACACATTCTCCCAGATACGTTCGTGGTCTTGAGCATTACTGCTAGACAAGTCCTGCTTTGGGGCGATTCGGCATTGAGCCACGTCCCAGAAAGACGCTCTTGGAATTTGCGCCAGATCGATGACTTTCATGACCATCACCCAAGAATGAATGATGGGGTAGTCGTTTCGAATTCCACTTTCTCTAAAGTGCCTATTGTGGAGCTCTGTGTAGGACTTCTGCAGGCTCCCAATGCCTAACTCAGTGAGGATGCTGATCGCAGTTACGGCAAGATTCTGAAGACACATCTCAACTGAAAACTTCTCAGTTATCAACAATGGGTCCTGGTTGCAACATCTTAATATGAGGAACGCCATTAGCATCAGTCTATCATAGATCTGCAAAACATGACCAATGCTCTGAGTGGTGTAGCGGGCAGTTCTGAGCATTGAGTCGGTGCGATTATTGAGGTTATCCAGACATTCACGAACTCGCGAGATGAATGACAATCTTTGGCTTTGGTCGAAGAAACCAAAAGAGTTCTTGATATAGCCTAAAACGAACGAGGCGGCCAGAACAGGAGTCACTTCACTGGATGACGGAGCAGGCTTTCCAGCCAGCTGGGCCTCGGTACCCTCTGCGATATAATCCAGCACCACGCCTAGCTCTGAGGAAGTCTGATCATTCCAAGCGCCCCATCTAAACAAATGGTCATTAAGCGATATGGACATACAAGGTTGTGTTTCCGACGCGTGCATCGAGAAGGCAGCCTTGGCGCAAGACTCTAGCTCGCCGCTTCCGATAAGAGTAGATTCGTGAAAGAAGACATCAGTATGAAGTGGAAATATTTCGAAATGATGAGTGTAATGTGTACCATAGGGCCCCAAGCCGACAAGCTTGGCTTGAGCAGGCTCTCCGCCAGCTATACTTGGTTCTGCGGAATACGTTGCAGGGACTGGGTCCTTTGCGTGGCTATATTGAGGCGCATCGATGTCGATACGCCGAGGAGCTGCCTTTTTGCGATTTCGCGATCCGCCCAATATTTTCTTGGCCTTATCTGCTTGTTTTTTTGATACACCTTGCATAGATATTCCGAAACTCCGGGTACTCCCTGGTACAGATG